CACACACACAACATAAACCACGTCAGAGCCTTTGACCTTGATAGGGAGTGTGCATACACACCCTGTAGGCATCAAAAGCACACCCATGCATCCAAACATCCGGCCTGTATAACCTCCATTTAGCCAAATCTGTCATGGTTCATGGCTCTGGTTCTTCCCATACTGACCAAAAAATGTAAGAGAGCCCTTGATAACGGTTGTAAAATGTTCTTGAGGATGACAGAAAGCAATTCTCTCTTTCTCACATGCACCTTGTGGTCCGTGTCAAACGTAGCTCACATTACAGGTCTGGACGAGACTTTATTCGTCACTCAACTAGATTGAAATCGTTCCTGTGTATTTCTGGCAGTTGAATTAAAATACAGCTCTCGGGGCAGCATGACAACATAAACACAAAATAAAAGGTTATACAAGCAGCAGAGCGATAATGAGAAACAGGAGTAAACAGAAGATACCGATCTGTGGCCGCAGCATCATTGAAGCCATGTTATCCGAGCAGTCAAAGAGTTCTACTTGAGGCTCAACTACAACAAAACATCCGACCTCCATGGTCAGCTCAGCAGTGCGGCCAGCTCAATACAAATGAAGAACAGAGTTGTAAAAACAATGTAAAGGCGTTTTTATTGTGTGCTATACTGTGACTTTTTTTATGACGTACTTAACTATGATTGTTTTTGTCACTTACTATACCATAACTTTTTATGATATACTGTCTGACTACCTTTCATTACATACTATTCTGACTTTTTATCACGTATTAAACTATAACTTATCACATAATATACAATGAATCTTTGTGACATACTATGACTTTCTTTACTTTCTATACTTGATGTTACACTTTACAGTGTCTGAACTATAATTTTATAATTTTACGTATTTAGTCTGAAACTGAACTGTCTTAATATCAGTGAGCAGCAATTCAAATATCCACCTCCCTTTTATTGTATATAAAGAAGAATTAAAAGAAAATGAGAGGTAATTAACATCCTTTGTAGGTCAGAAGTCAGACTCATATTAACGCATCGTGATCGGCACATCAACATGTTGCCATGTGAATGTCTCTCCTTCCAGCCCTGTCAACAAATGACAAAATATGTGGGTGCCTAAATGTGAGTGTGGATTCAGTCAGTTACTTATTTTGGCCGTGGTAGAGGGCAGAATGCCACGATGGCCTCTTGTAGTTCCTGGTTCTGAGTAAGCAGGAACTGAATGTTTGTCATCCATCAAGAGCCGAGTTCACTCAGGACTTTTAGGGTTCAGGTGTCGGGTCATTTCAAATCTCCTGCTCTCCAGCGGACGGAGGTTTTGGAAAAACAGACTGTGTCCCAATTTCACACTGCATATTTATTGTATACATTGAGTACTATATACTAATAACCTTAACAGGCTAGCCCTGTTAAGGTTTATGTCAAAAAGCAGTGTGTGTTAAGAGAAGTCTGGTAATCATCACTTTAATGTGTCACTTGAAGACATTCTGAGGCTAACAGGGTTCAACTGAGGACAGATAGTATCGTACTGAAAAGGTGTACAAACAAGCTCAAAACCTACACAGCTATTTATGTGGCAGAGGGCTTTAGTCTTTAAAAATAATAACACAAACAGTATCAACCAAGAGGAAAAGTGGTCACAAGCAGAACCATGAGTGATGTATGGACTCTTGATATTAAACTTGATAAACACCACAAACCTTAAAAGTAACCTTAGTGTTGCTTTAATAGCCCTGAACACTTATATCCAACGCGAGCACACAAAGATGCTTATCATGGCGTACAGAGCACAAGAGTAATACGAAGCACTTAAAGCCTTCAGGAGCAGTTTCATGAACCAGCAGTAGTTAGTTACCTGCTTCACTCTCTCAAACAACTCGTAGCGTCACACAGTGACACTGGTCTGATGCTTTGCTTTGATGATAATGTGCTGGTGTAATGGTTTTAGGTTCTCCACCCTCTGCAGGGTTTGTCCCCGGGAATGTTTTTAGCCGAGGTGGTAAGCCACCCAGGACGCATTGTGTCTTGTGATGAATTTTATTTGTAGATGATGTAACGCTCAAAAAATGCATTAACTGTGTTAAAAACACCTGTGCTCTTGTCCCTTTTAATGTTGTATTTCATAAAAAGGTGAATAAAAACCCGCTCTGAATTTGAAGCTGTTAGTCAAGTAGCCAGGAGTTCGTCTCACAAAGACAACATAAATCTGAGAGTTAATTGTGAATATGTGTGCCGAGAATTGATTGAGCTCATAAGCAGAAAGACAGACAGATTACCAAAGTAGATAAATATGTGTCATGATGTCACTCGTGGCCTCTTATAACCTCTGAAACTTGTGACCAACTGTTTACACACAAGGCGCAGTAGATTTGAAAAGGATGCATGATTCCCTGGTTTGAAAGGCCTGTTTATAGGTAGGTGCAACCTGGCAAAGTCGTTCGATCCACCATTTTAGTCCAGATTCAGACATCTCAACAACTACTGGATGGATTGCCATGAAACAGGCATTCATGGTTCCCAGATGATTAATCCTACTCATTTGGTGATTTCCTGATTTTCCTTGTAGCAGTGAAATATCTCCACAACTGTTGACTGCATTGCCATAACATTTGGTTCACACATCTATGTCCCCTAGAATGAATTGAAACAGCAACACTTGTGTGACATATTTCTGGCATTCGCCGCAGTGCCCGTTAGACGAGCGCGTGGACGTTTATCGGAGCTCACTGGGACTTGCTCGATTAATAAAAGATATCAAGTGTACGCAGCAAAATTGAGCTCAGTTGTTGGAACAAATAAGTCACAGTTATAATCAGATGATGGAAATTGTCTCGGTAAACCCAACGCCGCTTGCATGGCTGGAGAGTCTTGTTTTCTGTTCTCTGAAGCAAGTTTCAGTCATTCAGTCTGGAGTAGGATTGGTTCATGTCTTCTCATCCTCATGCCTGTTGCCAATCAATCATCTATTGTACAGCCCCCATTGAGGATTTCGTATCCCAAACAGATTTCCATAGAGTTTTTTCAGATCACTAAGTAGAAAGAGGTTTCTGCACAACTTCAAAGTCTCCAAGTGTTGTAGGAGTTTTAACCTCCTCAGATAACAAAGTAAAACTTGTGGGCTGACTTTGTGAGGCTAGCCTTCAATACTAAACAATCTCCTGAAACATCAGCTTTATTTATGATGGTTAGAATTGCATGTTGTACACACTGTATATTCTAAGTGATCAAAGTGTCAAGTCATAGAGCTGAACCCACAGCTTTAGGACTAATGTGTTCTGTCACACCTCGACTTCGGCACCATGTTGTGAGTGTGTTAGCTGTCAGAGTGACGGACCTGAACCTGTCTGGTTCTCTGATTGAGGCAAGTCTGAAAGAGAGGATTCTGGAGGCGGTGTGGGGGGATTTGAAGGCGGCCGCATATCACTGCTGGGCCTCCTCACCTGCAAGGGGCTCCACTTGTGCGACAGCTGCCTCCTCATGCTCCTCCTCTTCGGCTTTCGTGGCCGTCTCCTCCTCTCCTCGCTTGCTCCTGGCTGGGCGTGGTCGCTCAGCGTGTCTGAGGACTCGTCGATGTACGCCAGATTCTCTCCGAAGAAATCCAGCAGCTGGCAGCTGGGTGAGGAGGCAGCGTGGAGGGGATGGGAGGGAAGGAGGATTGTGTGGCGAGAAGGAGGAAGAGGGGAGAAGCGAGGGTGCAAACCAGGAGCAGGAGTGCGTCTGTGGTTAGTTTTGGCTACAGATACACATCTCTCTGCTGGAATCAGTTTGTCTTTCTCTTGTGCTGTGTTCATATATGCGGCTCTCGCTCCTCCCTCCTCCATGTTGCTGACTGTACAGTAGGGCTGGAACTTGTGGAGTGCCAAGAGGGACGAGGAGACTGAAGAAACGTCTGATCTGGAGTCAAAAGGAGACTCGGATCCAGAAAGGGATCCTGCTTGCATGGCTGCACCTGCTGATTCCAGCTCTAAGGTGGAGTGGGCCACAGGGAGGGAGAATGAGCGGGCCAGCAGGGGAAGAAACGGCCTGCCCTCCACCTGCAGACCCACAGCGGGGTCAACTCTCAACGCAGGCACCGCCCTCGGGACCGTTCCACCTCCAGCGGCACTGACCCTTTGCCTGGACTTGGCCACAAACGCCCTCTCAAGAGACGAATGGGCCTCCAGCCTGCTCATGGAGCTGGACAGGCTGGCCCAGCGGTTCGGCAGGTGTCCATTCTCAGATCCTCCTCGAGCCAAGTATCCCAGAGTGCCCTGGGCTCCCCGTCGGATGCGGCGACGCTCACTGCGTTTCCAGCGCCGGCGCTGCAAGAGGAAAGGGTCGTTGAACTCCAGAGGGTTTGGGATGCGGAAGTCCATGGACATGTTCTGAATATTCTGAGTCCAGTCTGTAGCGTGGGCCCTCAACTCCTCCATCTGAGCGATAGAGCGGGAGATGGGAAAAAAGATGAACCTCTAACCAGGATTAAGTGCTGCTCCTCTTCTCTTGGTGTACATTACTGGCTCTCTAGTATCATATATCTCTCACCTCAGCACGGGTCCTCTTAGACAGCACCTTCAGCCAGTTGCCTATCATGGTGAGGATGGAGGCAAAGTAGGCGAGACCAAACACTATCCACAACCACACCAGAGGCTTGAAGAACCAGCCGTCCTCACGACCACCTGGACACAGAGAAAGTGGGCTTTTAGTGTGATGCCATGGTCCCCAGAGATGCAGCAGTCTCCTCTCTGTTGCCCCGTCACAATAATCAGAAGTCAGAGTCTGATACAGAGCAGTCCTGGAGCAGAGAGGGGGACGTTTCATTAACATGGGTGACCTGGGTGATGGGCAATTGCTCTATCCGCCAGACCAGTGTTTCAACCTTTAAACATGACACCTTAAGTCATGCTCGTATTATTGCACACAGCTTTTGTACAACTCTTCCATTTTTGGGTATTGAGTTGAAACTAAAGAATATTTTCATTATCAATTAATCTGCTGATTATTTTTCGATTAATCATTTCGTCTATAAAATGAAAGTGGAAAAATGACCATCATGATTTCCCAGAGCCCAAAGTTTGTTTTGTCTGACCAAGAAAAACCCGAGAGATATTTAATTCATAGGTATATGACCAATAAAGTAGCAGTTATTCACATCTGAGAAGCTGGAAGCAGCAGCAGATCTTCAAAGTATTTTAGCTTGAAAGCAGTTTAATCAATTATCACAAATGTTTCTGAATATCTTTAAGCAGATCAAATAACTGGTTTCAGCTCTATTGTACATGTGTGGTATGATAAACTGACCCTGACTTCGACTTCAGACTGCTGCAACTAAAGATAGCAAATACATGTAGCAATTCAAATAAATAAGTATCAATTATACAAGAAAAGTCTGAAAAATAAAATAAGTTTGTGCTGCACTGTTTGAAGTAAGACACGAGGTTGCGTGTAACTTGTGTATTGTGTGTGTGTGTGTGTGTGTGTGTGTCAGTACCTGGTACGTAGTCTCCAAAGCCAACAGTGGTGAGAGTGATGACCACAAAGTAGAGCGACTCCAGAAATGTCCAGTCCTCCACTTTCTGAAACACAACTGTTGGCACGGCGAGGAAGATCAGACAACCAATCAGGATGGAGAGAACCGCTGAGATCACACGCACGGTGGTTGGCCTGACTTTACGCTTCTGAGAGAGAGAAGGATAGCGGCGAATACAGAGGCAGAATGAATGGTAATCAATACTTAACGAATGACTGTGATCGACCGAAGAAAAAAAAGTTGATCTAGTAATCGACTTAGAAGTTTTATTTTAACTGGTCATTGTTTTACTGTTTCAGGTCAAATGCCAACTTCTTTTTACATGAACAGTGCTTATTGGTGTGACAATCATTTCAGATAAGAGTCAATTAATGCTGAATGATTTCCTCAGTACCATTCGTCTATTTTTAATGTAAGTATGACAACTGAGTGTTTGTATGTGATAGCGGGTTTCTTTCTTTGCCATTTATTTTCAAGGGAAACGTGTCCTCTTTCTCAGCTACCACTGACATGGTGCCCTTGAGCAAGGCTCCCGTGTACCTGCTCAGGGCTGCAGCTACAGTATGTGTAATCGCAGAGAAGCTGAAATTTGCCAGTGCTGACAGCATGCAAATAACCAAATTATCACTAGCAGAGACAATTTACAATTTCGTTTTTGTGCCTTTTGAGGAGGCAGCAGCGATTTTTAGCTACTTTATTTAGCATTTATATATTGTTCCTTCCTTTAAAACAATCGGGCAAATTGAAAATCCCTTCTTACATGACAACAGGAATATGAATTAACACCAGTAGCAGTGGTTCACATCCAGGGAGTGGGTTCTAGCCTGGTTCTTAACCAGACAATCAGAGATTATTGATTATTATTTGAAGCTGTGATTCACACAAGGTGTAAATCTAACTGAGGTTTTGTTCCTGGGCAGGACAGACCATTCTCACCAAGAAGAGGGTCTCAATCTTTGCCACAGCTCTCCGCAGCACTGTGCCCATGTGGTCACCCACTCCAGCCAGCAGTATGCCAAACATGGGGATCCCCACCAGGGCGTAGCACACACAGAACAACTGGCCGTACCACGTCAGAGGAGACAAGTTGCCAAAACCTGTTAGAAAGTTGAAAAAAAACACAAGGACCTTCAATTAAAGTTAATATGCAAGACTATGAAGACTCCTTTTGTATCACCAACTTCCATTTACAACAGACCTGAGACCCAACTCTGAGACGTCTTTTGGACTAACATGAGGTAGAGATCATTGCACATGGATTTTAGACAGCTAGTATCAAAGAGGAATGAAAAACAGAAGATAAATATGTACAGTTAAATGTCATAGTATGTCAAAAAAATGTAAATGTTAAAAGTCACACTTTAGTATTTCATGAACAAATCCATAGAAAAGTCATAGAATACTTTCATAAAAAGTAATATTAAAATATGTCATGAAAATGTCGTATATTTTTTTTAATTAATTGTAAATGTCATGAAAAATATCAAGTAATAAAACAGTCAAGGCAGATTATGTCAAAAGAACTCATAGTATAGTATGTCAAAAAAGTCCTAAAAAAGTTATATATGTACAAGAACGTCATAGTACTGTGTCCAAGGTCATAAGAAAATCACAGCAGTGTCAAAAAACTCATAGTTAAGAAAATCAAAATAAGTCTCAGTATGATATGTCAGAAAAAGTAAGTAATAAAAAATTGTAGTTTGTATAAAAAAGTCATAGTATAGTGTGTCCAAAAAAGTCCTAAAAAGTCACAGCAGAGTAAGTCAAAAAAGTCAGTTTATGTGGAAATAAGTTTTACTAAAGTATGTCATAAAAAGGTCATACTAGTATGACGAAAGAAAGTAATAATGTCATAGTACTTTAAGTCAAAAAAAAAAAAATGAATGGTATAGTATGTTAAAAAAAGTCATTAAAAAGTCATAGTATAGAATGTCAGAAAACTTTCATAAAACGGTCGTAGTATATTATGTCGAACAAAGTCATAAAGAAGTCTTGTATGTATGGAATAGAATGCTACAAAAAGTCACAGTATAGTAGGTTGAAAGACGTCATAGAACAGAATGTGAAAAATGAGTGTCATAGCATATACTGTACCTATGGTGGTAATGATGGTACCACAGAAGAAGAAGGCTGACGCCAGGTCCCAGCGGGAGGTGAAGTTGGCAGAAAGGTTGTTCACATCGAGTCCGGACTCCACCGCAGACACCACTCTCTGCAGGTGAGGTATGTCATTTACTCGCCCCACTTAACTTACAACACAGGTATATCCTTTATTCATGTGCAAGTACCGGTACAATTATCTCAAACAATCCAATGCATCAATGCAAAAGGATGGTAGTAGATGGAATTTAGTTTTCTTTATATCAGGTTAGCTTTAGTGCAATGGTTCCAAACTGGGGTTGGGCCTCCTTGAAGGGTCGCAAGATGATCAATGGGAAGCTGACTTTTATAGAAAACAAATGGTAAAAATGCGACTCACTACTTCTTCAAATATATTAACTGCAGTGCAAACTGCAGTGAAAACCTGACTTACTGAAATAAACCTGGTTTAACTTTCACTTGTGTTGTGTCTCAAGTTTAATCAGAAAGAGCAAAAACAGAAAAGAAAAAGAAAAACTTTATCTCTGTGGTTAAAACAAGTCTTAAAGCTGTGGTTGTATTTACAGTTAGTGTGAGTGGGACTAAGTGATGAGAGTGTACTTAGTGTGTCCATTGATACCTTCACAAGCTTGTAGAAGTCCAGCTCGGTGACACAGGAGTTATTATCAAGGAAAGTGTTCTTGGTAGCGAGAAGGTCTTTGTACGCCAAATTCTCCTCGGGGAGCTCCAGGGTTCCAAAAACAAGCGCTCCCATCACCAGGTACAGCATGACCCCAATCAGCAGGGCCAAGAGGGTGGTACACCGCATTTTCTCCCCGTCGACCCCCTCTGCCCCTCCAGGGTTAGAGGGTCAGAGCTCCGAGGCCAGGCTCTCAGTCAGGATACACCGGGGCACAGCTGGCTATAAACAGGAAGTTCCTTTTGAGAGGTGCTGCATGTGTGAGCACGGAAATAAGCAAGCGACACAAGTGTTCGTGGAAGGCCGACACACATTAAGTACCTTTATTTATACATCTGTGCGTCAAACCAAAGAGACGGTCACTGACAGGAAAAGTCAGAAGTTAAGAGCCGACAAAGTGTAAAGTACACTTCTGCACATCTTACAGGAGGTGGTTTAACAGTGATGTACAGTGGTGTTGAAGGAATGCTCCAGAAACCTGTTTTTGTACTCCTCCATTACAAGCTATGAGCTCACAAAATAAAGTCTCTTTAGCCCTTTCTCAATGTTCAAGCCCACACTGGGAAACTACATTTCCCACAATGCAGTTTTATATCGTCTTTCACTGTGATGCGTTCATGTCAATGTCCAAGATGTAACTGCAATTGGAAACTCTCTGAAAGCTCTGATGTATCTGACTTGGCACTTGAAAATGAACTGATTTATTATTGCACTGCTGTAACACCGTCAGACTCACAGCGGACAGTTTAAAATCAATGCAGGCGAATCAGAGATATCGTCTTTGTGTTCAAAAACTGTCACCCATAATGCACCATGAATATGGTCAGATTCAGTTTGTTATGCTAGTAGCTGATAATGGAGGAGAAGTCGGGGGCAGCACAGAAGGTCTGGTCAGCTCACTTCTGGTCTTCAACCCCAACTGCCTCAAGTGACATCATTTGAGGCAATTTACCAAACTTCACAGGTTCCTCTGGAGACACAGAAAGGTTCCATACACCAGTTTCACTCCCTCAAGACCTGTAAACAGACTTGTGTGTAAGATGAGTGGAGTACCTCTTAGTTGATTAAACCCACATTTAATGGATATGATGTTATATCGTCAGAGCTCAAAATTTGAATCCTCACAAGATCAACTCGGTAATCATACAACCGTCTCGACTTCTTTCTCATCTCTACCATCCCTCCCTCATCTATGGAGTCAGATTAGTATCATGACAAAGCACACAGAATGATTCACAATGTATTTTAAGAATTATGTATAAATTACTCCGCAAAAATGTTTTCAATGTACACAAACAGTTATTGTCGTGTATAAATGTAAAAGTAAATAAATAAGTTTCACAAATATATTTCTGAAACACAAACAAATATTTCTTGTTTTAAATAAATCAATAGAAATCCACTAACATATGTGTTTAAATGATTATAAATGTATGATTAAAATATAAATATATATTCAATACAATCACATGAGCCGTCTTATGTTATGCTCAGGTTTTATTTGATTTAATCATATTTGTGTTTGCATTAGAAACACAATTGTGTTTTACATTTATATACAACACTAACAACCTTTGTGTGCATTCAAAAATATTTTTGTGGAGAGAAAAATATGTAAACCCTGAAATCCATGTGAATCCTTCTGTGTGCATTCATTCATTCATTACGATGCTGATCTGACCACATACAAATCACATGAACACAGCGTCAGACCCTCGCATTCCATTGGGATCACATCCAAAATGCAGCAATATTGAAAGAAACTATTCTTCGTGCACTCTTCTAAACTCGCTTTTGTGATACAGAATGTTTTATAAAACAGTACCTTAGCTCCACAAATCAGGTGACAGACAAATCTCCTCTTTCTTCTGTATCTCTGCTCGGCTTTCTCTCTGGTTCTCCTGGCGTCAACGTTCAGGAGTGAAGGATTGTGGGTCCATTTCCTTCTCCTGCATGCCACTTGGAAGACTTAAGCACAACAAACTGCAGAAACAAACGCATGCATGTAAAAGTGTAAACGTAGGTTAGAGCGTAGATGAACAGAACCGCTTTAAGTTGGCACATTTACCCGTTTCTCTTAGTTTGAGCATTGAATAAGTGTTCCCACTGTAGAGACTTTGTCATAATAATCAGGGCGAGACTGACACACTCCAGGCCGCCCCGCCATCATTCTCACAAATGATTACACTCTGCCAAAACTCCAAACATACATCTCGACATTAATCGAAAACATGTTTATCGCTTATCTTCATTTGGCTTCTAATGTTTTCTTTGAACTGTGTTTACTTTTGACACACACACACACACACACACACTCACACACACACACACACACACACACACTCGACTAGGATTTAGGAGCTTCTTGCTCTGGGTAAGCCGCCCCTGGTCGTCTCCACCATCACAATGTTCTGACATTTCCCAGCCGACTGTCAGCATTCTGCACTAATGGACTGTTGGCTTTGGTTCGCGTGGACCGTCTCGCTCTCTGCCCCTGGCTTCAACACTGACAGATATTATTAGTTATTATCGCTGTCTAAACCTGCGCTGGCATATTTTGATATTTTGCTAAGATACTAAGTGAGAGGGGCTTAGAAAGAGCAGAACCGTGGCTGACGGGCGGTGATCTAATCTTAAGTTAAACAGTGGAGGCAGGTGAGGGAAATAAATCACGAGGTGAGCTGTTTGAAAAGACGCACGCGGCTGGTCGAAGATGTTCTTAGGTCTGCATATACGTAGTTCAGGCGTGCAAGACGAATCTGACCAAAGAGGGATGAACTACAGAAACTAAAATAAGAATAAAAGCAGCCGCAAACATTCTTCTCCACGTGGTTACTCGCTAGGCTAACAGTCATATTTGGAAAAAACAAACAAAACATTTTTTTACTGGAATTACATGTTACTTAGTCTGCAGATTGCAAACAAAAGGATTGCACACTTGTTTTTGCATAGCTAATATAAGATAAAATAAAAAAAATAAAACCTGAACTATTTCCTTATGTGATGCAATAATAATTTCTATATTTTGTCACCTTCATTAAACGTGTAAAGGGTTACCATTATTTATAATATCATATTTGCAAATACAGAAGTGAGATCTGTGAGGCTCCAAACCACTATGAAGTAAAGCCAATGTCAATTAAAGCTACTGGGGCCGTAGCCATGAAGGCCTATCGATTACACTGAACATTCTTATCACGAAGAAACTTCTCGTTTTTGGGAGAACAACCAATCACGCGTCTTTGAAAGAATGCTTCATACCTCCTCACGAAGGCTAAAGTTTCTGTCCCTTCCTCGCTGCTCGGAGACGTTTCCTGAATCCCTCCTAAGTTAGGACTCCTTGCTAGAAATGTTGAGGCTAAATTAGGAGCTCTGCGAGAGAAGTCTGTGCCGACAAACCTCCAGAGAAGAATACGACTGTCTGTGGATGAGGACGTAGTGTCCACTTGACAATTTGCAGTGCTGGGAGAAAATAAAGCTTCTACAGATGTAATTACTCTTTCAGTGAGCCAACACTGACGTCAGAGAGAGATCACAGGTTACAACTATTGGTTCTCTGGTTTCATGCTCTGGGAAAGAACGATCCTCAACAATAATGATAGGACTGTTTGTGCTACAGAGGTCGCATAGAAAAAGGTAAACGAGCTGACATTTTCATCTGAGGCTGTAAATGTAATATTTTCAATTAAATGCTTATCAAATGCAGCCACGCCCCTAAAAACACAGATCAGGTCAGAATCTTAAAATATAGTTTTAAGCTACGTTCCTTTCTAAATGTTGCACTTAAATTACTGTGCCGTCTGTGTCAGGGTTCAGAGGATGTATACTAGCAGGAATGTTGGAGTAAGGGATTGATCATCTCTTTTTAAATGGGTGTGACAGTCTGCTACTATACTTGGTAACCTATAGTTAAAAAGAAAAAAGGAATTTTTGGAGAAAAGGCATAAGCCACACATGCAAACTGGATCTAAAACCAAGCAGCATGCATCATCAAACAAATACACAATTCTGCTACGAAAGTGACAATAAATAACTAACAGTCTCGTCACCAAAAAAAACTTCTGTTATAACTCTCAGTAACCTGCCAGAAAAAATATATATTTTACATGTCTTACCTTCAGTTTGGAGAATGTTGCTATCCAAGTTGGTCTCGTGTGCCGTTCTCCCACCATTCAGCGCTCAGCTCTGTGAGAGTGTGTGTGTGTGTGTGTGTGTGTGTGTGTGTGTGTGTTGTCAAAGTGCATGTGTGTGTTTTCTCCTTGGAAGGTGTTTCCCCATTCTCGTGACCCTACATCACTCTGACAGAGGAGAGCAGATCGTAGGAGGACCAGATGAGGGAGGAAGAGGAGGAGGAGAAGAAAGGGACATGGCATGTGAAGTCCATTACAGCGCAGCAAGTGTGATTAAGTGCCGTCACTGCAGAGGAAGAGCAGAGGAAGAGCAGAGGGCCTCGGAGTTTCCTGGGCTGGACGTGGGGGGGCTTAGCCCGCTAAATCCTCGCCTTTCCAACCTCTGTCTTTTTTGAGAAGTAAAGAGAGACACTTGTTTCTTCAAAGTCAGACTTATTGTTCAAACAATTTTTCTTGCGCTTGAGGAGGATTTTCATCATGAAAATAAAACAGACAGGTTGGAAAGCCCGACTCGTCCATCGCCTCTTTAATTCTTTGATCCTCCTTTAACAGCACCTCTCAACAATGTGTTCATGACCAAGAGGCAAAGGGAGAGGACTTTGGTAATTGAGGAAATACTATTGTGGTTTAGAAAAGTTATTCCACTTAAACACTCCGAGGCTCTCCTCATTGGACCACGGCGCTCCTTTAGACTCAAATGTCCAGCAGCAGCAAACCCCTCTAATGTGAAATCATGATAGACAGTAAACAGCCTAGATTCTCAGACTCAACGGCGCTCAAAGACAAATAAATCCACGAGAGACAATGGTTAAATTATGAGCAAGCCTTTTATTGTAGCTGCAAACACAACACAGAGAAAAAATTAAAAAAAAAAAAAAAATCACATGAAAGTGTCTAAAACAAGGCAACAAATACACAGTGAGGCCGTCACTGCCGAAAGACTACAGATCCCAGAGATATGAAGGCAGCTGAAAGGGAGGGGAAGAGTGTGTGTGTGTGTGTGTGTGTGTGTGTGT